ACCACTGAAGATGGGGCGCCTGGGTGGCGCAGTCGGTTAAGCGTCTGACTTCAGCCAGGTCACGATCTCGCGGTCCGTGAGTTCGAGCCCCGCGTCAGGCTCTGGGCTGATGGCTCAGAGCCTGGAGCCTGTTTCCGATTCTGAGTCTCCCTCTCTGCCCCTCTCCTGTTCATGCTCTGTCTCTCTCTGTCCCAAAAATAAATAAACGTTGAAAAAAAAAAACTTAAAAAAAAAAAAAAACCACTGAAGATATCCGAGCAGGAGGCTGAGATCTGAGCCATGTGATGACAGACAGTGACTGTGCGATGTGGTAGAGTTGGAGGTGGAGGGGAAGGGGCTCAGGGTGCTATTACAGCTTTTCCAGCAGCTTCTATAAGAGGTCATGAGGGCTTAAATGAACCAGGGTGGTGGACCATATTGAGGAATGAATTGCTCTAAGATCTTTTGTTTTCTGTTAAAATAAAATTTGAAAATATCACAAATATTTTCTAAATAACAATTTGAAAGCTTCAAAATATTTTCAAAATAAGTTTTGGAAATATCGTGCAACTAATATCAAGCAGCATTGGATTAATTTGGGGAATTGAGGACTTTCTTATATGTGAGATCATATCAGCTCTAAGCTAGTTCTGAACAATAGGCATTTAAAAATCTTTTTAGAAGGCCAACATGTGTTGGTACATGTGGCATGAGGTGTTAAGTATTCATTTCTTCTCTCCTAACCCAGAACCCTGCAGATAGTGACCATAGGGATTTTTATTTGAATTTTTTAAAGACAGGTGAGAGGAGCTTCAGATACTGTGGATAGTTTGGATATAGCAAATCGGTTTCTGTCTCACATTCCAGTACCAACTCAACGGTGTTGACAGGAGCTGGCTGCATTGAGAGGATTTTAAGGGCTCAAGTGCTCTGCCTGGACGGAAGAGCTTTCTGATGAATTCACAATGTCTCCTCTGGGCATATTTTAGGAAGAGAAAGCACATATGTGATGTATTTGCCATCAAAGGGAATTATTTTACAGTCAAGGAGAGGTGATGCGACTTTTCCCAGCTCATACAGATAGTAAACTTTAGAATCTGTGTCCGTTCATGTTCTTTCCACTACTTTTTGCCACATGGGGTCACACTGTGGCCTCTCTGTTCCCTGATCTGGTGTGTGTGTGAGCATATTTAAGTGGAGAGAGTGGAGAGGGGCTGGCCCTGCCTCTGGTAAATGTCTTCGTCTTCTAAATCTGTGGGAAATGGGCAGTTGGAGAACCAGCTGACCCTCTGGGCATCAGCTCCTCACAGATCAGACAGGGTCAGCAGGCTGGCCAATTTCTAGGCACTCTTCAAAGTCTGAAAGGCTCTTGTATGCCCTTTGCACATAGTAGGTGCTCCATAAATAGTTGTTGAACTAAAATGATGTTTCCCCAGGATAGCAACGCTTGGCCTCATCACATTTTGTAGGAAAGGAACAAGGAAGGAGGCAAAATGATGTGCCTTCGGACAACACGATTATCTTGAGCTGTCCTCTTAATGAAACTATAGTGTTATGGACTCCATTGTGTCCCCTCAAAATTCATGCATCGAAGCCCTAATCCCCAGGGTGACCGTATTTGGAGAGAAGGACTTTAAAGAGGTGAATAAGGTTACATGATGTCATAAGGGTGGGCCCTAATCTGATATGACTGGTGTATTCATAAAAAGAGATGCCAGGGACACACATGCCCGGAGAAAAGGCCATGTGAGGACACACGGAGAAGGTGGCCATCTGAAAGCCAAGGAGAGGGGCTCCAGAAGAAACCAAGGCCTCCCACACCTTGGGCTTCGACTTCCAGCCTCCAGAACTGTGAGAAAATAAGTTTCTGTTGTTTAAGCCACCCAGTCTGTGGTATTTTGTTATGGCAATGCGAGCAAACTAATACAGATGGTTTCCTCAATTATCTAAGGATGGAGCAGGTCTCAAAAAGCCCTTTGCTTTTGTTTTTTTCTCCTTTACTATTAACCTCCTGGTCTTTGGACATTTCACAGACTGTCAGCCCCTATATCACGAGAAGAGAAAGCGCTTCAGGAAACCTGGATCAGAAAGAAGTCTAGGTTAGGCAGGAAAAACTTGAGGTATGGGAGACTGGTTAGGTCTTGATCAAAGTCCATGGTCCTTAGGGCGCCTGGGTGGCTCAGTCGGTTAAGCATCCGACTCTTGGTTTCAGCTCAGGTCATGATATCAGTTTGTGCGTTCAAGTCCTGCATCAGGCTCTGTGCTGACAGTGTGGAGCCTGCTTGCGGTTCTCTCTCCCCCCGCCTCCCACTCTCTCCTCTTTCCCTGCTTGCACACTATCTGTCTCTCTCAAAGTAAATAAATAAAAAAAAAAAAAAAAGCAGAGTCCACTGTCCTGTCCTCCATGAATTGAAACTTCCTTTGGTGGATCTGTCCTCCCACTTTTGAGAAACTCCATTTGTGTTGCCCAGAGCCAGCTATATCATTTGTGGGTCCAGTGACACATGGAAAGGTGGGGTTCCTTGTTCAAAAATCATTAAAGATTTCAAGATGGCAACAGTAGAGAGTTAAACCAAGCTCTGACTCTGTGCCACTGGCCAGGCTGCACAGCGGGGAAGCCTCGCTTGTGCGGCCTCTGTCACATCCTCCCTGAAGCACAGAGCCAAATCCACTTTGGAATCATCGATCTGAGCATGTTCTAGAACCCACTGACTTTGGGGCAATTTTGCAGATACGGCTAATATTCAATCATGTCAATTGAGATCAGGACTCAATTTTACTTGCAAAGAGTGGGTATACCACAAAAAGTTGGAAAGCTCATTTCTCTGAAACAGGTAAAGTTTAAACACCTTTTATTTGAAGAAATATTGCTTCCAGACTTTCCCGAAGCCAGAATTGTTCTATAAAAGTATCACAGAATATTACACAAGATTAAAAAACACAGTATGCTTCCTAATAACTTGAAATCTTTTTACAAAGCACATCATTCATGACCATAAATATGTTTCTTCTGTCATTCAGCTGGTGACACACACATCTGATAAAGAGCTAGTTAATTTTAACATATGTACAGAGTCTATGATAAAGACTTAAAGTTATCAAAGATTCAACTATAACATATTAAATTTTCTTTAAAAGAGTTTACCTTAAACACTTGAAGAAAACATAATTTACCTATGCATTTGAATGGTCTAAAAATAAAAAGAAAATCACTGTTACGCTAAAAAATAAACCTGTTTGGGAAGTTGGCTAGGGTACTGATAACTCTCGATGAGGTAATCCTTTTGCTGATATTTAAAAATCTAATACATAACAAGAATATTTTCAAGAATACAGAATTTCAAAAGCAGTCTTGAATTACGCCTTTAAAAAAATCCAAACTTGGTGAAGGCCTTAAAAATAATCATACAACACCTATGGTGTGTTTAAAATATGAAACATTCATGAGTGTGTTTTATTGAAAAAGATTCCTTATATAAATTCAAAACTAAGTATATTTTCTCAACACTTTAGCTTATTAGCCAGGTCAAGAAAACCAAGATGACAAAAAAAGTCTTCAGTCCTTTTATCCTGCTAATAAAATAACAAAAATTTAGCAATCTTAAGCATATGATGAACACTTTGAGGCTAGGCACAGAGAGAGCAAGCGATCTTTGTTTTGTTGATTTATTTATTTTCACTGCCAACATCGTTAGCCATGCCTTTCTGCTAATCAATTTTAGCAAGTCAAGGAAAAAGCATGCAATATTTTCTGGCAAGAGCTTACGCTAGACAATATGTGATCCATACTGTGTGTCATTCTTGGGGTCTGCTCTCCACGGTCACACTGAGAGCAAGCAGTGAGACTAGGAAAAGCCTCTGGCAAGAAAAAAAAGACTAACCAAATAGACATGGCAATCTGATCTCAAAGTGCAAAATCATTGAACGTGATGGCACTGAAAAACTCCAGTGGTTAAAAAGGAATCAAAACCACATGATGCAGGCAGTGGGACGCAGGTTGAAAGATTCACGGAGGATGTCAAGTTTTAGAAACTCAGAGAGATACAATTCTAGCCATCTTGATTGGGTAACATTCATATAGGCATGTCCCTATGGCTTTCAAAAGATAATACTGCTTTAATCTCCCCCAAGTAAACACAAATCAACCTTTATTTCTACTCTTGACAAATAGGGAGTTACAACACCGCATCCCTGTGTGCCTACCGCTCGCCTGTGTGCTAACTTCTATGCCAACTTCGCACATGTGTATCTAGGATAGCTCGGAATGTTGGCTGTCATGATTGCCTTTATTAGTTTACTAATAAAAAGTTAAAAAAATACTGTGTTTAGGGTCAGGTAACAATTTCATCTAATCCGAGGAGAGTGGAAAGGAGGCACTGCCTTCTAGACTCTGTAAGCTGCCTGTCTCGTGATTCTTCACCTTGTCCAATATCCTTTTCACGCTGCTGGAGTTAATAGGCTGCTCCAGGGCAGACGTATTGATTGTCCGATGAACAGAATCAACATCAGAATGCACAGGAAGATACAGCTGATCTTCAAAAACACCTCCTGGGCCACCAACCCGGGGAAGTCCTTTCTGCTGCCTGCTAATGGGCTGCAGCCTAGGCCTGGGCTTGAGCACCAGCTCTGGGATGCCGTTGCCACTGAAATCAGTTTCGGGATGATTTATCTCTTCGTGCTCCATCCATTTTTCAGTTTTATGATTTCTCCAGTGTTCAGAATTCAAACGACTAACTTCTGGAATGTCGTTATTCCATTCAAGTTTCGTCTCTGGACTGAATGTTGGTTGGTTCAAATGCAGGGTTCGAAGGTCAGCTGGCAAGGTCACGTGAGGTGCTTCCCCAACCATCCGACTCGGGTCATCATCTGACTCCGCGGAGGCCATCTCTACTGGCACGGAGAGCTCAGCAGATCCACCTGGGAACCCATCGCTTTGAGCAGTTTTAGTCTTATTTGTTTTATTTTGCTCATGGTGGCTGTTCAGCAGTGCAAATACTCTATCTACATCCTTCAAGTAATTAGTCCAGTCAACCAGACTAAGTCTATAGTTTTGTCTGTACTCATAGATGCTTTCATTCACACTGTATAAATCTTCCAGGCCTTGCCAGTTGACGTCTGCAGCGAGGCTGGGCTGGTTAGCCTTCCCATCCATCCCATAACTGTCCTCTGTGAAAAGAGAGACAAAGGTGGATCGTTAGTGGAGAAAGGATTTCCCACTTACTGGACAAGCAACTTACATTGTTTTTTACCAAGGCAAATCAATTTGAAATACAGTGCTAAAGAGTATCTTCCTCTGGTAATTCGTTATGAAGGAGTGGCCTTAGGTTACAGAAGCGATTGAACAATACCAAAAAATTAGAAAGAGGCTCAAACACATGCAAACTTCCATGACGAGGCGTGGTTAGTGCCGGAAATGCACGGCACCATCAGTCAGGAGGCTTACATTTCACTCCCGGCTCTACTCAAGTCAACTCTGCAACTGGGACATCATGTGAGCGAGGCTCTCTGAGTCTTGCTCCCTCATCTGTCAGATGTGGGAATAGTTGTGTGATAGAACCTTTACTACCTACAGGGTTGCTGGGTGAATGATGAGTTTGAAAGTGTTTTCATGGAATAGGTGATGCTTAGGACGATATTTGTATGCTCCCTGGCACTCAGTATAAAAACAAACATGGAAGCAATTAAACTCTTGGAATCCAATGTTTGAATCTGTTTTTGATTCGTTTTTTTCCCCCTAAAATATCTATATCTAGATAAAATGATCTTTGGGTGGTTTTCATAGTATACAAAGAATGCCCCCAATTTTTCCTCTCTCAGATCTTTTTACATCACCAATGTGACTACAGTCTTGTGGAAAATAGCATCTTTTCTCTTGTTGTGTCCGAGTACCATTTAGAAAGAGGCAGCCTGGATTAATGTGATGAACTGGCCACAAAGCAATACGGATCACCAGGGACAATAAGAAAAACTGCACAAAACCCACACGCTTCGTATCACTAAAAGATCAAAAATGAGGTACTCTTCGAACCCCCTGTAAGTAAAAAAAAAAGTTAATACCAAATGTCAACAGACCTATACGCCGCACTTTGGGCACGAGCCCTGGGAAAACAGTAGCGATGAGAGAAGAAGGAAATGAGGTTGCAGCCAAGAGCTGAGTTGAAACCATCGCCGGAAAGAGTGTCAACCTGAAGTAGGAAAGACTGTAAAAGTCCCGGTAAAATCTGCGGTGGAGACGAGGAAGAGACTCAAGTGGGCGCGAATCGAGGCTGCAGTGCGGCAGGGAGACAAGGACACAGAGCAAGAAGGAACATCCTTTGGAAACTGGGTGATAAAAGAAAAAAGGCAGCGAAAGAGGCGGGGGGGGGGGTGGATTTCAGATCCTGTAAGAAAAAAGAGAAGGAAAAAATTGGAAGACACACAACCTCCCCAACTCCCACTCCCAAATAATAATAACGTAAAAAAGTAAAAAGAACGTGTATTTGGTTACACATGCTAGAAAGGAGCCTCTTAAACTAGAAATCTTATAAATACTTGAAATCCAGGAGATTGGTAAAAACGGCCTAAATCTATACAAAATTATCATAAAATAGAAAATAAGAATAACAAAACCTATTATCTTATGAAAATGCCCAACACCCTGCCCAAAGTGACCATAAAGTGGAAAGAACCACAACACAATGCTGACAAGTAAACGGTGTGTTTTCCATCAAGTACCCCAGGATGTGAAAAGCCATCTCAAGTCAGAAATTCAAGTACGAATCAAGGATCTCACAACCATTCAAGCTCTTCTTCAAGTATCAAGGCTACAGAAGAAGTTCCAGAAATAAATTGTAAGAACACAGGTAATACTGTACATATCAGCTCATCTGGAGTAAGTAGTCTTCACATCCAACCAAGAAATCACCGGAGAAATTTCAGCAAAAGGGTTGATGGTGAGCATTTAATATATTTATCAGATTTAGGACACAATAAAGGTAGAAGGGTCAAAAGATAATATATACGTTTTCTATGACAAAGTAAAAATAATGTGACTCAACACGGGAGGAAAGATAGAAAAACTGAAAGAGAAGAAGCTCATTGAGGGTAGAGCTAATAATAGTTGGGAGTCAAAGAACAACACTAAAAACTGACCACTGATAATAAAAGATTAAGTAAGAAGCAGGAACTAAGGGCGTTACCAACATTTAAGATCAAAGACAACCAAGAGGACAAAAATACAAACCCTACAACGTTTCAAAGAGGGGGGATAAAGGGCAACACCTTTATAAATTTAGAAGAAACCACCTGTAGAAGATGCAGAGTGAAATACACAAAGACATAATAATAAGTGATACTCAATCTAAGAGAGGCCAAATGGACAAAAAATAAATAAGAATCTGGAAGACCTTAATATATAATCAATCAGGTAATTCTCATGTAAATGTATCCAACAGTATACTCCGAGGATAGAGGTTATACCTTGTCGAACACACACAGAAATTCACATTATTTGATTATGTGTTAGGTCACGGAAAAATGCATCAGGAAGTTGCATAAAATAGAAATATTACAAACAACACTTTGATATCATACAATGAAACTAGAAATTAATAAAATTAAAACAACAAGAGAGCTCTTTCATCTGGAAGCTGACAAACATCATCTGGGTGAAAAGGAAAATACAAAGCTAAAAGTGCAGAATTTAAAAAATGATAATGGGGGGGCGGGGGAGAGGGGAAAACGGGTGATGGGCGTTGAGGAGGGCACTAGTTGGGATGTGCACTGGGTGTTGAACGTAAGCGATGGACCACGGGAATCTACCCCCAAAACCAACAGCACACTGTATACACTGTATGTTAGCTAACTTGACAATAAATCATATTAAAAATAAAATAAAGTAAAATAAAATATAAAGTAAAATGAAATAAAATAAAATAAAATGAAATAAAATAAAATAAAATAAAATGATAACAGGGTGTCTGGTGGCTCAGTCGGTTAAGTGTCTGACTCTGGATTTCAGTTCAGATCAGGATCTCATGGTTTGTGAGTTTGAGCCCTGTGTCTGGCTCTGCCTGGAATTTTCTCTCTCTCTGTGTCTGTCTCTCTCTCCCAATCTCTCTGCCCCTCCCCTGCTTGTGCTCACTTCCTCTCTCTTTCAAAATAAATAAACTTAAAAAAAGATCATGAAAACACTATGTATTAGAACTTATGATGCATCAAGCGTGATACTTATGTCATTTTAAGCATTCATAGCCTTAAACACTTTTATCACGAAAAAATAAATCAATCAAACTCAAAACTCAGAAAGCTGGAGAAAGAACAATATAAATCAAAAGAAAGCACCAGGAAGGAAATAATAAAGGTGAAAGCAAAAACTAATGAGGTAGAGAACAGAAGAATGACATATCTCATTAATAAATCAAAATCCTGGTTCTTTAAAGAAGCATCAAAGCAGACGATCACTAGTTTAACTAGTTGAGACAAAGGGGAGAAAATTCAAATACACAAAATAAAAAAATCCCAAGGGAGAAATAATCATTGAAATATACAAAACTCAAAGCATGAGAGAGACTACTTTGCAGACCTTAAAGCAAATAAATTAGAAAACCCAGATGAAACAGGTAATTGCCCAGGAAAATGCAGTTTATTGAAATTGACCCAATAGAAATAGAAAGCTTAGATAAAGCAATTTCCAAAGAAGGGAAAGAAAGATTATTAAGAAACTATCCTCAAAGATGCACCAGGTCCATGTGGTTTCACAGGAGAATTTTATCAAGCCTTCAAGGAAAAGAGAATCTGAATGCTGTATGAATTGTTTCAAAGCATAGAAATCAATATTATATTAAGAATATAACACATGATAACCTAGTAGAATTTACTCTAGGAATGAAAGGTTGGTTCATTCATAGCCCATCCATTAATATAGTATATCCTATTGGAAGATCTACAGAGAAAATTATTTGAGCATCTCCATTGATGCTGAAAAGGCTTTTGACAAATTCAACATTCATTAGCAATAAAACACTAAAAAAAAAAAAAAAAAAGAAAAAAGTCAATGGCTATTTCCTTAACATGACAAAAATGTATTAACTTAGTCCTAAAATCTGTCCTCTCAATAGGGAGTTTTTTAAAAAATATTTTTTTAAAGTTTATTTGTTTTTGAGAGAGAGAGAGAGTGAGAGAGAGAGAAGGAGGGGCAGAGACAGATGGAGAGAAAGAATCCCAAGCAGGCTCTGTGCTGTGAGTGCAGAGCCCGACGACATGGGGTTCAATCTCACGAAATGTGAGATCATGACCTGAGCCAAAATCAAGAGTCGGATGCTAACTGACTGAGCCACCGAGGCATCCCAAAAGGAAGTCTTAAAAGCATTTTCACTAAGATCAGGAACAAGGTAACATTGTACTAGAAGTATTAATTCATTCAATTCAACAAGAGGAATCAATTAGAGACAACCAATAGGAAAGGAAGCAAAGCGATCTCTATTTGCAAATATCTGACAGGTATACCTGGAAAACCCAAGAAAATCAATGACAAGATTAACTCAAAAATAGAAATATTTTTTAAAGTAGCAGGATACAAAATTAATACACAGAAACCAATAGCCCTCATATACACACATGATAATCACAAAGAGGTTTTGATGAGAGAGGAAAACCCAATTCATAACAGTAACAAAGAAGATAAAATACTTCTGAATACACTTGACAAGAAATGTGCAAAACCTATGAGATAATATAAAAAGCTCCTGAAAGACCTAGAAGTTTACTTAACCAGGTAGAAAGACAGCTTTTGTACCTAGGTAGAAGACTCATCATCAGAAAGATGCAAATTCTTTCTGATAATTCTTTCAAAAACCAGATAGAAAAATGGCATAGGACACAAGCAGATAATCTACAAAAGCAAGTAAAATGGCCTTTAAACTTTCAAAAACGTGTTCAACTTTACTCATAATAAGAGCAATACAAATTCAAACCATACTGAGATACCCTTTCTTTCTCATTCAGTTGGAAAAATAATTTTAAAGCTTGACAACTGTTGAAAGCAGACCCTCGTACACTGGTGATGAGAATGCAAAATGGTACAAACCATATGGAGGGAAATTTGGCAGTATTTAATATAGCCATATAGGCATTTACCTTTGACCCAGTAATCCCGCAACTAGGAATTTACTCTGAAGATATCCTCA